GCGGGAGCGCTGCTGCGCTCCCAAGTGGCGCACTGTAGCAGTGCGCCACCGGGCCGGCCCATAGCCTGTGCTTCTGACAAGTAATCTTAGAAATTATTGAGAAGTCATGGTGTTGTTGACTTGACTTAATAACTTTGTCCCCTTCTGGTGATATATTAACAAAAACACTGATACCTCGCACACACTTCAAAATGTTATATTTGTGAAATATGCAGTACTTCAAAAAGTTCATGGAAAAATGAAATTAAAAGATACTAATCTTTCCTTCAACTTTTTGAAGACCCCTCTTATGTCACATAGAAAGGACACTAAGAAATATTTAGGACAGTTAAAAATCCATTGATTTCTTTCTGATAACTTGGTAATTTGGGTCAGGGACTAGCTTGAAAGTTGCCTTTGCTTAGCAAGCTTTTCTTAGTAAAAATGATCATGTAAACAGATTTGTAAAGGAATGCCTCAGATATTTGAAAGGACTAACCAGCATCAAGACTCTGTAAACTCTCTAGAGCAGTGCTTTTCAAACTAGATTTTATGGGCATATTCATGGAGTTACAGAAGTTCTAGTGTCATGTACAGTTTTTGTGTTTTTATTTTGATAATTAAAATCAATATAAACATCTGTCGGAGACCATTTGCATTATTATAACTAAGTACTTTAACGTATTGCTCACATTTGCATTTAATATTGTGTTGTTAGTATAATCACTTAAATTGATAGTTTAACTTTCAGAATAATATTTTTCAAACTAGGATCTATGGACATGCTCTCACGGGTCTTTGAGAATTTTTTTTTCTTTATAAGAAGTCTCAAGTTTGAGAAACACTGTTTTAAAGGAATTTTGTATCTGTAAACAATTGATGTATTAAGTAGCAACCAACTTAATCTATTTGTTAATAGGCCTTTAATACTCCTTGTTAATCCTGTTTAAATGAGTGAGCTTCTATTAGTTTTCTGCATACTTTGAATTTTATTTTTTATAAGTACTTTTCCACTAATTTGAACTGACTTAATTACCTACAAGTTGACCTGAATTAATGAGTTTCTGTTGTTTTTCTTATGTAATAAATACTAAAAATAAAAACTTTTAATTTTTTTC